AATTCAATTCAATATTTTACAATCATAATTACAGGCATTTTTTGATTGAAGGTTAGAGCGCAGATAGACCGACGTGTGTGGTGACATAAGTCCGGGATGTGTGTTTGCTTTAGAACGCAATTTACGGGTGACCGACAAATGCATCCACGACAAGTCTAAATCCGTCAAAAATCACCATACTACTCAATGATGAAGCATCCGTTAGCATAGACTTTCGCAGTGCAAATTGTTGGGGTGGCAATTGTCGCCGAGCGGATTGTCGTAGATCCCGATTTACCGCTGAAATGCGAAGCTGATGTTTTTTCCGAAATCGGCGTTTCTTTAAAAGTTCGGTCAGGGTAACGTTTTTAACGACATCATTTAGTATCCCTGATGTGCTCAAGCTGCACAGCGGAAGCTTTCTGTCTCATGAACTGTTGGTTTACAGTGACATTTGACACAACAGTTGAATTGCCCTTGATCATGACTTACATTTCGAATTCAAATGAACTCGGCGTGTACGAGCGCGCAGGCAGATGAACCGTACAACGATAACTGCACTAAACTGCATTTCATTACCAGTGAATAACGGTTATCATTTCAGCTATTGGAATATTGAGTTGAACATGTCAATATTCCAAGTTTTTGTGATCAATCGAGCTGGCAGTTTGATCTACGATTGGGATGTTAAGGAGGATTCTGCCGGTGTCGAAAAGACATTCAGTTATCCGCTTGATGTAGTTTTGGATGTGATCGATCAAAAGGTGACTGTGGTGTTTGGTGAACGAGATGGCATATTTCTGAGGTATTCTTTGCATTATTGCTCACTTGTATGTTGCCTTTTCATCGATCATCTATTGAAGGCAGTGATTATCCCTAATCAAAAACACACTACCTTTTTAATTTACTAAATTTTATTGTTCCAGTTTCGTTCAGCTCTTAATTTCCACATATCGTTTTACAGATATACAATATCGGCAATCAATGGTACTCCAGTACAAGGTAGCCATATGATTGTGAATGGTTGTGAATGCAACATTGTTGAATATCTTTCAGAGGAGAGCAACTTTCCAGTTATAATACGCTTTATACCACCAACTATAACAACGAATGAGAAAATTATTTTGTCGAGTACATTCCATTCACTTTTCACTATTGCTGCACAGCTGAGTCCTGTCCCGAAAAGTTCAGGTATCGAAGTACTAACAACAAGTCAATTTAAGTGAGTTTTTTCGCATTGAATGTTATTTGTCAATGCTATCACTCAAAATGTTGTGATAACAGAAACGAACTTCGCAAATGATTTGTCAC